CACACACACACACACACACACACACACACACACAGGCACGCACGCGCAAGCAGCACCTGGTTTCAAATGTCTCTCAAAGACCAAATCCAATTTGGCCCTGCTCCGCCAGCTCTGCAGTGCAGAATTCATCGGGTGAGGAGGCTGCTTTTCGGGGAATAATTCATTTTTCCAGTGTTGGAAAGGAGAATAATTGATCCTGGGTGCAGACGCCTCCCGCTCCTGGCTCCCTCCCCGGGACAGTTTGGTTCTAAATGCAGTCCTGAGACTGGTTAGGTCAGAGTCACAGCGGTTAGTGGGAGGGGGAGACTCCCATGTTAAAATATTGGATTATTTCACTCAACAGTGACGAAAAACAAGATGTAATTCCCAAGAAACGCCAGGCGAGAAAATCATTTTCCCTCCCTGCTTCCCCGTTCCGATTGTTTCTTTTTTTTCTCTTCCTCTTCCGCGACATCTTTGTCTTTTCGCTGGGTCCGAGGGCCTCCTGGTACCATAGGGTCCCCCTCGCACTGCCCACTCTCTGGGGCCCTGCTCGCTCGCCTTGAAAGCCATTCGAGGCCCTTGCCTCTCCCCCCTCCTATGGGTCCCTGAGGAGAGGTTTCTATTCAACTTCAGAGTCAGCCCTGGTGCTTAGCACATCGATAAATTGTGACCAGTTCACCCTGAAGCTCCGACTGACAACCCAGGAAGCTACAAGCTGCCGAGGCCAATCAGGCCAAGAGCCGGCACACCACCTCCTCCAGGAAGCCCACCCTGAGCGTGAGCACCAAGGGCGCTGGCTATTCCTCCCGGGGCCTCCTTGCCACCCTGTGGGACCAGAAGGGTACTGCCAGGTTTGCTCCTTCGACTTCTTGCACCCTGGTCCAAATGCTATCAAAGCTCAAAGCACTGGCACTGAATTAAGCAACCCTTCAGGACAGGGTAGAACTCCCCCGTTGGGTTTCCAAGGTTTTCCATCTGTCCGGGTGTAGACAGCCTTGCCTTTGCCCCACTCGGTGCCCGGTGGGTTCAAACTGCTGACCTTGTGGTTGGCAGCTCTATGCAATACTACACACGTGTTCATTCATTTGACCTGCCCCACAGCCCCATGAGGTAGGTCCTATCAGCATCCCTAGTTTAGAGATGTCGAAAGTGAGGCACCGACTCACAGTCAGGGAGAGTCAGGGGACAAGGACCTGGTCAGTTTGAAGCTGTGGCCTCACGGGTAACAAAGTACCTCCCCGCAGAAGGCCTCTGTCCAGCCAACCCTAACCCTTGGGGGTCCCACATGTACAGATGAGAACCAGGCCAGAGGGTTTTCGAAACTGCAACCTGGCAGATGCAGAGGGCCAGGGCTCTCATCCAGGCACCTCAGGAGACTCGAACAACCAACCTTCCCGTTCACAGTCGAGCACTTACCCACGTGCACTCCTCAGGGACTCCTTAGCACACAGCTGGTGCTCAACACGTGTTTGAATGCTAAATGTTTTCACATGCAGACCCCAGGGCGACCCCTGAGACCAAACCTAAGTGTACAATTGTGGGACACAGAAAACAACACCCCATCACCTTTCCACCCCCATCACCCACACCCACCCCCACTCCAATTGAGCCCTCACAGGGAGGCAGACTATAGCTGCAGGCCAGCTGTTTGAATTCCTGGTTGTGGGACCCGGGGCAAGACTGTCCTCTGAGCCAGTGGCACCGTAGCCTCTAAACCGAACGGTCTAGAATGGAAGCATGCTGAGAGAACAGAATCACACACACACCAACGTGCTGTGCCCACAGGGCGCCCCGTTCATCCTGAGCACTCAGTAGGGGCGAGACATCGGTGGCTAGGATGCTCGAACTTGGGGGGGGTGGGGGGCGGGATACTTCAGGCACTCTTCAAAAGGAACCACCCTCCTCGAGCCAAGTCAGGCAGGGAACAAGCTCTGCATGGGATTGGAAGGGGGTGGTGGTGGCTTTTTTCTGAACAGCAGGAGTAAGGAGGATGAGTTGCCAAGAATTACCTTGAAGAATTTTGTAAACCACGCGCACGTGATTCAGTTACTTCTGGGAGTTGCTAAGACGTGGGAGAGGCTGGCAGAGGGACTTACTGGACCAGAGATAGCCTGTGACGAGGGCTTCATTCATTGAGCCAGTGCATACTGACTGCCTCTTGGAAGCAGGAAGCAACGTGGTTTTGGGAGAACGACAAGCTTGGGGGCCCCCCAGACCCAGCCCAGCCCGGCCTGTTCTCTGTAACTGGCAACCTGGGCCAGGAGCCCTTGCCTCTCAGAGGCCTGTCTGGCTTCCTCTTCCGTACATTGGGGTGACAAAACACAAGCCTCCCACAGATCTCGGCTTCGGGGAGTCGAGGAAATCATGTCGATGGGGGTTGGGTGGAGTTCAGCAAATGCCAGTCGAGCACCTCTCAAGGGCAGCAGCCCTTGGGCACTCAGACCAGCGCACAGCCGACTGTCTGCCTGTGCACAGAAGAAGGTAGATGCCCACAGCTGGGCCCAAGCCTCAGGTGCCAGTTGCTCCTAAAAGCATCAGCACGGATGGGCAGATGGGCATTGCAGGTGCCGTTTTGCAGATGTGGTGCCAAGCTGGGTGCACCGCCGTGTCTCTGTCTCAAAAGCCAGGCTGTTTGCGAGGCTCACGGCAGAGGGAAGGGGAGCCGGGGGAAGAGGTGGCTGAGCCCCTGTGTAGGGACTCATTTACGGGAAATGGAGCCGAGGCAGCTGGGGAAAGTTCCAGAAAGATGCCCCCCAAAGGAGGAAGGGGAAAATGAAGGGAGGGTCCGAGGGTGGTCTGGGACAGAGGTGGACGAGTAGTCCAGGGTTTCAGGGTCTGCAGGAAACCCCCTCCGTGTGTCTCACCTGAACAGTGATTCCACACTCTGGACAGACAGTCCTGCCTCACAGCTAACTGAAATCGTGCCTGCTTCAAGTAGGAATTGATGATGGCAGTGAGTTTGGGCTTTGGCATCCCCTGCTGACCGCCGTCAAAGCACTCGAAGACCCACACCTCGGCCCTGGCCACTCCGTCTGCAGCGTGGTGGTGGTGGTGGTGGTGGTGGCGGCGGCGGCCTGGGGGCCGGTAGCGGCAGCCCAGGGCAGTAACCCTGCTGACAGTTAATTGGCTTTTGTTGGAGAACGAATTCCATCTCGTCTTAATCTTCTTCATTATTCTCCTTGTTCAGCAGAGGCAACACAAGATTAGGTTTAATTTATGGGGGGGAATAGCAAAGTCATTACTCACCTGATCAGGGTCGGATCCGCCTGAGTGCTCTGTGTTCACTGCAGACAACGGCCTGGAGGGAGGCCCCAGCTCTGCTGAGCTGTGGAGGGAGCTCACGGGACTCCGTCCCGGACTCACATAGGGCCCCAACCCTGGGGGCTGCAGCCCATCCTGGTCCTGTAGGGCTCCGATCTCCAAACATCCAGCCTCTTACATGTTTCTCAAGAGTCTCTGGGGATCAAGGGCAGCCACAACGCAGAGGAAAAGGCTGAGCCCCTAAAAACCCAGACCCCCATCCCAGGCTTTGGATTCAAAATACAACTCCCAGGTCCCCTGGTAGCCCGGCCTTGAACTTCCTTGACAATACTGACACCTAGTGGCCTGTGAAGAAACGGAGCCGCCCTGCTGCGGTACCCATGGAAAATCCGGATTTACAGTCATTGAACGGGAAAGGAGGATAGGGAGCTTAATCTGTTGCAAAATCAGAAAGCATCAGGATCCACCAACGAACATGAAATAGAAGGCATTTTACACTTCCTCGTCAAGCACCTAGCACCCCTCCTTCTGTGTGTGGGAGCCCAGCAGGCTCCTTGTCAATGCCTCCCTCTCTGCAGAGCCAGCCTCCGCCGCTGCTCTGCCTGATTTGGGAGCGCAGTGAAGTGGTCCAAGCCTTGGACTGAAAACTCAGTTTCCACTTGCCTCCATGTGCTGATTGTACAGCCCTGGGCGAGTCCCCCAATCTCTCTGAGTGGCAGCTCTTTGACCTATAGTGTGCGGATATCCGCATCGGCCAGAGAGGGCAAGGTAGCTCCGTGGTAAAACTCCCGCCTTCTGCGTGAGACATCTGGGTTCAGTTCCCACCCAGCTGCCACAGATCTACTGGTGGAAGTTGGTGTGTTGCTGAAAACCCTTTGGAAGACAGTGGTCTGCAACCCACCACGGCACCGGTCGGACAGTATTCTGCTCCACCCTGCACCAGGCCAAGGAGCCTGGTGGTGTAATGGTTAGCACTGGGCTGCTAACCACAAGGTAAGCAATTTGAAACCACCGGGCGCTTCGTGGGAGAAAGATGGGGCTTTCTACTCCCGTAAAGATTTACAGTCTCAGAAACCGATGGGGCCAGATCCACCCTGTCCTACCAGTTATGGTGGGTTAGAACAGGCTCCCTGAGCAGTGAGTGGTGGAGTTTGTATTTGGGGGCATCACAGCAGACTCAATGGCAGCTAGCCACCACCAGAGAGGCTGCTGAGCAGATCAAATGCCCTTGTGCACCTGGCACAGGGCCTGGCAGCCACAAGTCCTCCCCAACTGCCTCTTCTTGTCAAGATCCTGTTACTCTCAGGAAGCTCGGTTTCATCAACTAGACTGTAAGCTGCTAACACCAAGCCCTAGCCCCAGCCCCAAGGCAGAGCACCCAGAGCTCAGGGCTCAAGTCAAACCACACTCCCTGCGCCCGAGCTCGGGCCGGCTAGCTGCCTCCTTTCATCCCTCAGCCAGCAATGCTCTGCCCCAGCAGGGCCAGCTGCTCTTCCCTGTTCGCCAAACAGCACCTCGTCAGAGGCCCACCCTGCCCACCCAAGGACTTGCATGGTTGTGTCGAAGCAGGCGGCCTCTCAGTGCCTCTGTTGGCTCATCTGTCCAAATCTCATCTGTGATAGCAGTCCCCACCTCATGAGGAATCTGAAAGCGATCGTGAGCGTGCTGGGTGTGGGTGGGAAGGGCTATCTCGTGTGGAGAATTAGCTTGTTCATTTATTGGGCTCCTCTGTGTTTCTGTTTCGCTACCCAGATCTAGACCGTCAATTCCAGGAGGGCGCATAATGGATGCTCAGTAAACAGCTGGTTGACTGACTGGACAGCTCTCCGGGACCAGGCAGACCTCTGCCCAGCTAATAGGCCGTTGGGAGATGTCACCAACTGCAGGCCAGCTCACTGTCATGAGAGGGTCCGGGTGCCCCCTGCTGGACAGCACGGAGGTTTGCCTTTACAGGAAGCAGCTCTCCTTCCTCACTGTTGGAAGAGTCCCTGTGTCAGTGTGCTAGGTTGCTGATAGGAAGGCTGGCAGGTAAAAACCCCCTCAGAGGAGCTGGAAGAAAGCCCTGGTGATCTCCCTCCGGAACAAAAGAGAAAAGTCAGCCATGGAATATGCTATGACCCAAGGGCACCTGGTTCACATGACGGTTGGGTTCCGGCCTCCCGGGCCCAGTGCAGTGCAGCGGGGAGACGGGGAGGGTGCTCGCTAGAGCCAGGGCACCAAGATCAGGACTCGGGCTTCTCCAGTTACTCTGGGTCAGTTGCCATGAGAGTCTGATGTCCTCAGCCTCCTCGAGGGGTAGGAAAAATCCTCCCTGCCCTCAAGTTGATATCGGCCAGCTAGGGCAGAATAGAGCTCCCCCACCCCCCACCCCCCGGCTCCTGAGGCTGTAAATATTGACAGGAGGAGAGAGCCTCGTGTTTCTCCCCGGGAGTGGCTGACAGGCGCAAAGTGCTGACCTCACAGTTAGCCGTCCACTTTGCAGCCCACTATGCCAGCAGGGCTCCTGGCTCAGGTGCAGAGGGGGGATAATAATGGCCCATCCCCCTCATCGCTCCATAGGTTACAGTATGACAGGCCGCGGGGTGTGGCAGGGATGGGGTATTGGCGTGTGCCCCGGGCACCGCTGAGGAGGGAGACAGCACTAGCGAGTGTTCATTGGCTATCACGGTGCCAGTGCCCGCTGTGAGATGATTCGGCAAGTTAAACTGGCAACAGGACAGGCTCCAGGTCCGTGAGCCTTCAAGCCTGCCGAGGCCTCTACTTTGGT